ATATTTAAAGAGCTATGTAGAAATATGAGACAGCATGCATACAACCAACTCTGGGAAGTTATTCTGGAATTTCAAATTAATATTCTAATCAAATTAATGACTAATATATAAAAGAAGTATTTTTAAAGGATTATAAAATGAATTTTGATCATTTATAGAGGAAAACAATTCTAATGTAAAAATAACGAATTCTCTATTAACTATGCTTGTCTTTCTCTCAGTAAGACAGAACCCAGAATTTTATACTTTGAAACATTTTTGGAAAAAAAGTATTTTCTCTATTTTTGCCCCCAAAAACAGGCACTGAAATTAATAATACAGGTAGACCACAGCTCTGAGAAATTATATTTGAAGTTTCATATTTGAATACTAAAGTTTTTTAATCATCCACCATAGCTTTCTAACAATGGTCTTTCTTAATGATAAATTTTATCAATCTCCAAAACTCATTTTAAATTATTTAAAAGTAGCAAATTAGATAAAGCAACACACAAATAAATTCCACATTTACAAGTAAAGAAATCACAGGGGCTACAGTTTATAATCAACATAAACTTGAAAGAAATAAAGCAATATCTTTCCTGCCACCCATCATTCACTGCTTAAATTTGTGATGAAAAAGATTTATCTATAATGACCTTTTGTCTGTTTCTTAACTCTGTGTGTATTGTAATTAGCTAAAGGCATTGAACAAATTAGTTTGTCCTATTTTTATTCTGGTCCCAGAGATAAATGGCTAATTTATGAAATATTTCACTCTGTGTTATGAGAATTTAGCAAATGAATATGGAACCAAATATAAACACTTTATACCATATGTACAGTTACTTTCATAAGGCATTATCATGTAATTTTTTATTGAAAAAGATTCAATATAGTAAAGTCTTATTTTAAGATATAGTTTCTTTCTCAATCCGAGATGTTTAGTTTATGAAAATATTGTTTTTCTCTATATTCTTTTTGTATATATGCCAACATATACCTGTGCTAGAAATATTTTATGGGAATTACAATTCTTTATATTTGTATTTTCTATATAAAGGCATATACAACTTTGAGGCAGTGTTTTTGATGGAGAGCAGAATTTGTAAAGAGCTTGTATGTGCTTCCGTGCTCTGAAATTATATGAAATCCACTTCGAGAAGAAACTTATTTGATTAAAAAAAACAAAACAAAAACAAAAACAAAACTGCACCAATGCACAGCCAGAGGCTGACAATTAAAACTAATACATAACCACATGAACATCATATTTATATAGTTAACATTTTTAAGGATGATCAGTGCTAACATATCGTATTATACATTTGGCACTAATGTTTGCCATTGGTCCAGCAATTGGCAAAATTTGTTTCTATGTATAAATTTATTTTTGAACATTAGGTCTGGCTAGACGTATCTTCACTATTTATAAAAAATATTTAGACAGTAAGCTCACGTTGAATAACTAGGTCTACTGTGTTCTGGAAACTCTTCAGTAGTAATACAGCTTTTTCATGTTCCATATGTACAAAACTATGTCCATTTGCCTGTAAACACACAAATAAAACAGGGCAATCAATGCAAGATATTCTTTGTCACCCCACCGTTGTTTCTAATTGTAAGATTCAAGGGAATTTTGAGCAACCAAAAGCTATCAGTTTTTAAAATTCACAATAGAATTCTAACTATGGAAACAACTGACTAATTTCACCCAGCTTTGATTCAATTTATTAATTCAACAAATATTTAACAAGCATCTAGTATTTCCTATCTAAGACTGTCCTAGCCACTGTGCTGATCATAGAGATAACCTGGTGAATAACAGATAGATACATTTGAAATATGGTAGTTGTTCTGTGGTTGTTTTGTTTTTGCAGGTACTTAGTTGAGATGTTTTGGAAGTGTCCACAGGACCATTGCCTTCTTGCTATATAATTACTGATAGCATAATCCCATCATCAAGGTCAAATATTTCACTCATGACACACATGATTGCACACTTATAGTCTTATTAGATCTTATTTTGACTCACTGAAAAGTTCTTAGTTTATATATTTTTTATTTTTTTACATTCTTTTTTTTAAAAGAAGATTTTATTTATTTGGGAGACAGAGAGAGAGAGAGGGAGAGAGAAAAAGCATGAGCAAGGGGAGGGGCAGAGGGAGAAGCAAGCTCCCCACTGAGCAGGAAGCCTGATGCAGCACTTGATCCCAGGACCCTGGCATCATGACCTGAGCCAAAGGCAGATGCTTAACCGACTGAGCCACCCAGGCGTCCCTACATTTTTATATTAAAGAGATCATTTTTACTTCCCCCATTGCTAAATGCAAGTATATTCATTATTTATACCAGTGGTTCTCAATGGCATCCAATATACCTAAGAGATCCACCCCTCAGAGGTAAAGGGTAAAGCACACTGACATTAGTGAAAATGTCTGCCATCTTCTAGTTAAGAATCATCAGTCTATGCATTCAAAATCCATTTTAAACATAATTAGCCCAAGGTTACAATTTTGGGATTCAACTGGTTATTGTTTGACATTTCACACGCTTCTCTGTTGTGAGTGCTCTTTTTTTGTACATTAAATTACAGATTCTCTTGATTGGAATGATTTTTACTATTAATATATAAAGAAGTGGATCCCATAAAACTTCACTGTCATTAAGGCCCAAATAAAACGCAACCTTCCTGAGACTCGGTAGGAATAATTCTTGGAAACTTAATGACTAACAATTATGTAACTATTTTCCTCACATCTGGGACTCATTTGATTTGGAAGAGTCAGCCAAATTGACTACGTGGCAAAGTACAGATAATAGAGCCGGTTAATTGATTGACGTTTTCAGTTTTCAATTGACTGATACTAATTTTGGGAACCCATTGCCTTTGTTGTTTTACTTTTCTAATGCTTTCTTAAAATATGATTAATATTTCATTTAACCACTCAATATTTCACTGCCTTTGGCTTTTTAAAATTTAAAACAGCAGATTGCAGTACTGTATAGTCTTTATAACTTAGGTGAAAGTCATCTGACACATATTTTATCACTCTACTTTATCATTAATTGGTTGGCTAATGATATGATAACAAAAGAAGGTCCTAAGATATCGCATTTCTTAAACCACAGTATATCTAATGAGGAAAATACTAAGACACAGAAATGTGAATCCATGAAAACCCATATAACTAGAAGTATAAATTTGTTTTGAATTGAAGAATCTCCTTCTCTCTCCCACCCTCTCTCCTCTCTCTCTCTCTCTCTCTATATATATATATACATATACATATATATATACATATCTCCTTTAATATATATAATAACATTTAATTAATGGAGTTGCTTATTAAAGTTGGCATTGGCTGTTTCAGTGGCAGGAAACAGTAGTTGGGTAGAACTTTGGGTTTGTTTCACAGCCCAAATTTCTTGCTTAAGTTGTAGTTAAAACCAGACAATTGGGTTCCATGTGATGTTATTTCTGGTCAGATGATGATATGGGATAGAGAACACAGCATATGGTACACTCTTCTTTTTATTCTCAGTCTGTATCTGACATCAGGAAAATAGCAAACTTCAGTGAAATGTATGCTTATTCCACTGTATTTTTGAGGAATATACTAACTACCTAATGTCTTCAATTTGACCAAAAGATATACCTGAACTGTGAATTAAATTTAACTTTATTTATTTATTTACTTACTTTAAGTAAGCTTGATGCCCGCATGGGGCTGGAACTCAAAACCCTGAGATCAAGAGTTGCATGCTCTACCAATGGAGCCAACCAGGTGCTCCTAAATTTAACTTTAATAATGGAGTTCTTGAATGTCCTTAATAATAACTTTGTGAGTGCTCAGATTTCTCTATCAGAAGACTCGAAACCTAGAATTGCAATGAACTCACAACCCACCAAGATTTTTCAGGGAATTGTTTGAAATTGCAATATCTTAGTGTTTCAGGGACAAGGAACGCTCTAGGATTTGGAGGTCATGAATGGTGTATTGTCTGCCATTAGACCTCACCATTCCTGGTTTTAGGAAATGCCAGTCTCAAAATAATACCAATTTTAAGAGCATAAGTGGCACAGAACCCAGATAGCCAATTAATCATAGCGGCTAGTTTTGAATGATACTTTAATCAAGAGGTCTTCAAAAAAGGGTGTTCATTTCCACCATTTTTTTCTTTCATTTTTTCAATCAAAAATGTGTGTTATGTATTAACTGTGCCCAAGGCATTGTGCCTGGCACTGGGGATAGGAGCAAGAAAGAGATGAGACAGGGAAGGCTCCCCTCAAAGAGGTGACCATCCAGAAAGGGAAATTAGCTATGGACATAATTATAAATAATGTAGAGACTGCCTTACCTGTAGTAGGCACTCAACAATTGCTGAATTGAATTAACATCAGAAGAGATAAATAAAGTACTAGGGTAGCTCAGCGGGAGGGAAAGGGAAGGGGGAAAATTTTCAGGGAAGCTGTTTTCTCCGAGGTCAATAACAAGAGTTTCCCCCGTACCCACACCTGGTGAGATTTCCCCCGTACTCACACCTGGAAAGAGTATGATTAGAGAAGGGCCACAATTCTTGTCTCGCTCAAGCCTGGAGTCTCCTCCAGCCCTAGACATGGGAACAGTTGGCTATTTCAAGAAAATTCTTCAACAATCCATGTAGGGAAAAGAGTTTTAAGATGATCTAGGTATGTAATCATTTTTATGAGAATTTAAAAATAAAAATAACAGTGAACTTAGACCCTAGGCTTTAGCATAGGAAACAACCATAAAAATATGCTAATGTGGGGGGCGCTTGATAGGAGGTGGGGTTAGTTTATAGATTCTTTTTTTTTTTAAACCAAGAGGGATAGCCCAATATGTGAAATATTTAAACAGAAATTTCCTGGAGAGATCAAAGAGGCAGTAAGAGAGTGAGATGAGAGAGTGAGAGCAAGCATATCTAGGCTAATCCTGTTATTTTGTAAGTGAAAAGAGATACACCTCAGAGAGGACAAGATACCTGACGGAGGCCACACATCCAGGGCTGAATAATCCCATACCATAATATTCGCTCTTATTATTTCTCTCAATACTTCACTGAAATAATAAGACCCCAATTGCTTCCGTTGATCTGAACTGACATTTCAGTGATTATGATAAAATAATGAACATTTTCCCCTTAAAATTATTGCTCTATCACCTCCTGACATAATTTGTTCTTTACAGTGCTTGCAAAACCTTAATTCTCATTCAGATTCCTATCAGGATTAACTTAAGTCATTCCAAAAATACTGGTAGAAATAACATTTAGTCCTAAAGTAGAATCTCCAGAAATGCTGAACCTCTCATTCTTATTATAGTGTTAACTCTGGCTTAATTGGGTTCTTGTAGGCATATGTGAGCTTTCTCTCTCAAAAATGGAAAGACTAAGTCAGGCTATCTGCTAGGACAGTGCCAGGAAACTTGAGAGGAAATGGATTAAAAAAGGAGAAAACTTTTAGGGTAGAATCTATAAATTTGCCATTTAATTGAACAAGGGTAGAAGAAACAGACAAGAATCAGATTGTGATACCACTAACGGAAAGGAAGGAATAGCTTAGTTGGGAAGACAATGGCATTTGAGGCCACGGCAATGCATGCAAGGGAAATGTTGATCATATATTTAGAAACAAGAGACTGGGGTTCAGGAAGGAGGTCAGGGTGGCAGCATTAGCGACAGAAGTTAGGTTTTACCGCTGTTTGGTATTCACCACATGGAATGCTGAGAGATTTATCAGAAAATAAATTTAAAAGGGAGCATTGTGAAAGAAGGGAAATCTAACCAGGGGAGCAGGATGGGGTTGCAGCTTGGGACATGTAGAACAAAGCTGAAAGATAGTGTTTGCTGTTGCCCTGGGCATCGAGGAAAATCTGTCTGAAGTAAGGGAGGGCAAGGTGAAGCAGAGCCTAATCCTTCCTGCAGGAGGATGGCAGAAAGCTGGCTCAAGCTCAGTGACGGAACTGAAGAACAGGGATTCTCATGGGACTGATGCGCGGAGGGGAGAGAACAGGACAGCGGGGCTCCTGGGAGATCCAGGCAGAAGGGTAACTGGGAAGAGTCGTCAGGAAGGGGATCAAGGTACTGTGCTCACAAAAGTAGCAGGAAATCCAAGAGAATCAAATCTTTTCCAGTGGCCCCAATGAACCCTAGCTTTCTGCAAGAGAGGGAAAAAAGCAGGGAAAAGGCATAGCTAGCTGAAGTCTGGCCTTGTATCTGGGTCTGTTTCCAGTAACAGGCTTCAAGATGTTCCGAACCACCATCCAGGCTCTGATTCAAGGCTAGAAAGATCCCTCATATAAATCAGCTTTTAATATCGCTTTAAACCATCAGCTTTTAGTTTTCATGCTTTGTAAGTGACAAATGAGGAGTTATACAGTTGGAAACTGTATAGCTGATAGCCCAGAAGGAAATAAAGCAGGTTGATAACCTAGATCACTGAGTCACATAAACACTAGGACTCTACCTGTAATTTTAGTCCCCAGAAATATTTTGGATCTGAAAACCAGAGCTTTGGGAAACCTCA